GAAGGGACGCTTAGAGTCATCGCTCCAGAAGTGGCGAAGCACAACGCTTTGTAGAAATAAGGAATAAAAAGTTGGTAATTGCAGAGTTTCAAAGAGTTCTATGTCAGATGTGAAATTCATTTGGTATCCAGCGCTTTTCAATAAGCCTTTTAGAATACGATTGATCTTGTCATGCCATAGTTCTGAGCAATTTGCGAACAGAGTGATGCCGTACCTAAGTATACTGTAGCCTAGAGCATGCGTGGTTGACTTTCTAATAGTAAATGGCATTTACACTTTTTGATTAAAGAGTAAATAACTAACACTACGAAGATTCTTACATATTTGTGAGAGATGCCTGTTCCAGGACATATCCGAGTCGAAATGTATGCCCAAATCCTTCACATTATTAACACATTCTAATGGCAGACATTTGCAGTTGCGACAGTTTGATTTGTGTAAGACAACCGACGAGCGCAGATTCAATTTCTTTAGTGGACTTCTAAAGCAGACCAACTGTGTCTTGGACATGTTAATTTTTATTAGATTTTCGTCAAAACAGTCCATTAGCTGCGTCGCGTCCTCTGTCAATAGATGTATTGCTTCGTCATAATTCAGATGACGAGATATGAGAACAGTATCGTCTGCATACTGAAATATTCTGCAGTTGGATACTCTGGTTGAGATGTCGTTCACATACAAATTAAAAAGTAAGGGTGACAGAACTGATCCCTGAGGAACTCCCGCTTTTATCATTACGCGCGAACTTTGAAAATTTCGAACACTTACAATTTCCGATCGATCAGAAAAGAAGTTTTCTATTAATGCAAAAAATGGACCTTAGAAGCCGAAGTTATAAAGTTTCTGAAGAAGCAACTTATGGCTGACCGTATCGAATGCTTTAGCAAAATCTAGGAAAAAGGCACACGTAAATAGGTTATTATCAAATGCAGTGTGTATGCGATCGGTGAAATCCTCAAGTAAGGACTGAGTGCCTCGTCCAGCTACGAAACCGTATTGATTCTCTGATAAAATTTCAGAGGTGTCAACAAAACTAGTACTTATATTGGACATGTATTTTTCCAATATCTCGCCAATGCACGGTAAGATTGAGATGGGTCGATAGCAGTCTATCCGACTTGGTGTTCCCCCCTTGAAGAGTGGTTTTACGAGTGCTGCGGGTTTTTAATTCAGCAGGAATGTTGCAAGACGACAGGATACCATTTATCATGATAAGAATGACGTTTTTGATAGTTTCAAAGTTTCGGCAGAGGTCTCCAATTCGTACGCCATCGATACCTGGAGACTTTTCCGCTTTATACCGAATACAATTGATTGCAATGTGTGCTCATCTATTGGGGGCAAAAAAGCAGATGGAGATATTTGTCAACATGACTAGGAGTGATGAATGTCACTCTGGAATCCCTGGAAATTCCCGATGATGTCGCAAATTGCTTGTTGAAGTCATTCACAGTTGACTGCAAGTCCGAACCCAAATGCTTCTCTAGGGACGCAATTATGGGTTGCCTAGATGCCCACCCTCGAAATTCGAAATGCGTTTATTAAGTCCCAGGTTTCTCGTGGATTGTACCTCGTCTCAAAAAAACTTTTTTTGGAAGTAACGGCGCTTTTAGGATCGGATCATCGCATTCAATTTGTTTCTCGCGCAACAGAATTCTGCTCTTAGCTCCAAGTTACTAGGAGCGCGACGAGAGCGTATTCATAACGCCTCTTTATCTTTAATGGCTGTCATGATATTGATGTCCAGCCAGGGCTTATCTGATCGTTGTTAGAAATTGACTACTTTGTTGGAGTTCTCAGAAAAAGACTGAAAAATTGCAACAAAAGGAGGGTATACATTACAACGTTCTCTATATTGCAGGAAGTCATTCCAGTTGAAGGCAGCAACTAAAGCATCACATTTAACAGTATCTGTTATAATTACGCACGTTTGGTTTCTTCTACTATATTTCTATCGGGTAGCTTGGTGCTCCAAGTGAAAACCTACCAAGTAGTGATCGGAAAGCTTTTGATGAATGACAGCGGTTTTCACAAGTCATCTGGGGCTCTGATATTTATGTGATCGATGCAAGCGACTACTAGTGTACCAGATAGAAGTTCTTCTCTTGTTGGGATGTTAATGGTATTTTCAATTCCATAGTCAGACAGTAAACTTAAGTAGTCACAAACTGTAGATTTGTTAGGCTTTGAAGTGCCAATATTCATGTCTCCTATTAAACAAAATTGCCCTTCTGACCGCAACTCTTTGGGGATAATGTACAGTTTTGCTAGAAAAAGCGAGGGGTTCTCCGAAGGTGGCCTGTACACTGCCAGCAAGAATAAAGAAAATGTGCAGTACGTAACTTTGATGGCGATTGATTCTGCATGTTGAAAAGACACACCTGTACTCGTTGGCAGCCATTTGTCCTTAATATGAATGGCAATACCACCGCCCCTACGAATATTACGCGTGTAAAAAAATTCATTATACCCATTCAAGACAAACTGATTATATTGACAAGCTGTCACATCAATCTCGGTTAGAACAAATATATCTACAGCTGGAACTAAGTTGTTTACGACTATTTGGAACTCCTCCCAATGCTTTCTTAAGCTTCTAATATTTACATGAATAATTGTTAATGAATGATTATAAATTGGACCTAAAATAGGATTAAATGAATTACAATCTGGAAGGAAGTAACAAGTTGTAGAAGAGATACTCATCTATGTTTAAGTGATTTGATCCAGTGCACCAGTGTCAGTGATGCGGAGGAGGGGAGAGTTCTGGCTCTGCTTAGCGTAGATTTTGCCATGTCGGAACCATACAAATTTGAAATTATTTTCCTTCCCTCTGGTCCGCGCCATCCAAAATAGCTTCCTGTTTGAATCCATGAGATTTTCGTTAAAATATACTCGGGGATGAGAATCATCCCGAGGTAAATAACCCAGGCGTCCTCTGTAGCCCATCCAGTGCTCCTCAATGGAGACAGACGAGAATCGGATTAGCACGGGTGGTACTGCACCAGACTTCACCGGCAGGCGATGTGCAGAAACGATATGTGAAGGATGAAAACCCTCAATGTTGATTTTTTGTGCGAGCCCTGTTAGATGATCCATAATGTTCTCCTGGGGTGAAAATGGGATGCCATGCACCTCTAAATTGGAGAGACGATTAAATTGCTCCATGTCATTCTGATTTGTTTTTAGCTGTTGGATTTCACGTGCCTGCTCAGATACGGTGGATTGCAAGGAACATGTTTCAGCTTGTAGCCCTTTGATTATTGTGGCCTGAGATTTAACTGAGGTCACAAGGGAGTCATACTGTGACGAGACAAAGCTAATTGATTCCTGCATTGTATTGACCAAGTCGCGCATTGTGTCGACGGCCTTTTTCATCGATAATAAAGCATCGACCTTTGGGCGTAGTTCGTGAAGGGCATCAACGGTGTCCTTCCACGAAAGCAGAAGGTCACGTTTTTTGTTCACCAAAAATAGCTCTGCCAAAAAGGCAATGGGATCAGCTTGAGATGACGGAGTGAGATCGCCGTCAAGATTTGATTTAGACAGTCCTCCCCGGCATCCGGGGCAGCGCCATTTCTCATGTTTTGCGGCGCACATCCCTTTGAATGTGCTTTCCGAGACACCGGAACTTCCTAAATGGTAGGCAAGCGCGCAGTCTGCACATTTCATGAAGCGACCGTCATTAATAATAATAATTATAATAATAACTTTATTCACCATATCACATATGATGGGAGCTAGAAAAAAAAGTTGGCAAAGCAGCTTGACGGGTCTCCAGCCCCTTCAACAGGTACACAGCGGGAGCCAAGTTTCGAACAAAGCAGAAAAATAAAAAAATAAAAGTAGAATAAACTGAAATGACCACAAAACGCTATTGTGGTAAGACAAAAAGATGGCTAACAGGCCATCAACTACGCATAAAATCAACAATGGCAAAAATATGCTAAAAAGTTTCCGCCTTCAAACAACGCAATGATAAGCAACAACAACAAATTTATTTCAACAGTTGATAGTCACGTAACTCACGCGGGCTAGAAGGTATACCAACATTCGAAGTTATGAAAGAGTTTAGAAATGTAGGAAATGCTCTTCTAATCATTTGAAGGGGTAATCTGTCCGCATGTATTAACCATCCGGAAATCTGAGTTGCGAGTAGAATGTGTAAGTGCCCTTTTTCTAAGGGATACCCTGCCTAGCAGGAAGCTATCTATCACAAAATATTCTTGTTTATACTTCATTATAAGCCTGTATTCGTATTGTTAGTGTATTCTTAGTACCCGAATGTTTAAAAAATTGGGGGGGGGGGGGTGAAAAGATGAGGCACGTTACACACGAGTCTTAATGCTCAGTTTTGCAGTAAGAATATTATATGTAAATTTGTTTTTGTAGTGGTGCCCCATACCAAATGGCAATAGTTCAAATGAGATACAAATAATGTGTTATGCATAAGTAGTTTAACACTTGGTGGAAGAATTAGACGATGGCTATGTAACAGATCCATTATACAAGCAAGTTTAGAAACAACGTAATTTAAGAACGCTTTCCAAGAAATGTGATTTGAAAACAACGCGCCAATGGTCTTGAACGTGTTAACTATTTCAATGGTGGACGAGTAGAGGAAGATGTCGCTCACAATATTAACGAAACGGAATTTCCACCATTGAAGCCGCCGCCAGAAATAAACAAAACTGCCTATAGACATGAAGTAGGCCGCTTGGAGAAGAAAAAAAACTCTGTCTGAATTGCGATGTGGTGGACTTAGTAAGGTTTTTGATATGAGTATTTGCTTTTAGCTTCACCGGTCTCTCTAGAACATATACTTCTATAAAGGGCAGCGAAGCAATGTTCGAAGCGTGCAAAATAACATTCGTAAATTTCAATATTTTTTGTTAACTCAGATACTTGAATATTTTTGTTTGGTTTTCATCTATTAGAAGATTGAATGAAGCGCATTTCAGTGAGAGTGGCCCGGGAAGTGCGAGAGGTGCATCGCTCACTATTTTCAGCTGCTCTTTCATCCGGCGAGTGATGTCGACGGACCTCTTGCGTATGCGCTTGACAGCGACCAGCTGACCACGGTATAGCCCCACCTGCGACAGGAGGAAGGTGACAGATGCCGTCACAATATCATGAACATTGTCAACGTCTACGAACATTGTTTCTTATGTTCCTATTTGCTTTCACGTGTAAAGCTTCTCGTTTTTTTTTTCTTTTGCTCTTTCAAATCCGACCAACTTTATATATCTATCCACAGTATCTGACGCAAGAGATTCGAGATCGTTGCTCAGTTCCATACTACTTCCGAACTCAAATTTCTCAGCCGCAACCTGCGTGCACAAAAGCATTGTTAATAGCTACTACGTTGAAATCAAATGATTTAACAAATAAGGAATGTGCGCTCAATTCCTTAGGTTAAACAATGTGATTCAATTAATTTTATTTTGACATGTTCTGTACGCATAGGAACCACCAATACAATCAAGCTTCCTATTGGAAGCATTTTGTCTTGACTCCTCTGAACAAATTATTGAAATGAAGTTTGAATCTCAAAGTTAAAAGAAGTGTAAATCTCCCACTCTTACAACGATTCTGGATCATCGGGCAGCCCGGTGCCTGGTGAGACATGCGGCCAGCTTTCATTAGGGATAAGTCCAATATTTTTAACATTAAAAAAAAAAAACACTCTGCTCAGCTTATATTTCTTTAATTGTTCACTTTGGCGCAAGGGAGAGACAGTGCGCCATTTTGCATCGAAATACTGCGATTCTGCTGCGTAACCTCAAAGAAAACAAACGTATTATTGCCCGATCTGCTGCCTCATGCGGCGGTCATGGCCGACATGATCTGACGACATGGCACACAAAATTCCGTGGCGTCATGTAATGAAAGTAAACAAAAATATTTCCCCTGCTTTGTTATCTTCCCCATTGTATCCGCAGTTAGTCACCTTTTGCCTTAACCACTCGCCGCGACCTATCGCCTTCGCCCATGCTGAAGTGCAAGCAAGAAAAATGTTTTTGTGTTCTTCATTGTGGTAGGTGACGTAGACTAACTCCCCCAATTAATTAGCGAAAGTACGAAAATCGTCGCGCCACTCTTTTAAGCTCGCTTATTGCAGAGACTGTCAAGTGACCTTACATCTAGAATCCAGCAACATTCGTCACGAAAAGCACATCACTAGCACAACCTCTCGTTCACGAGGAGTTCAATGTTCAGGAATGGCAATTATAAAAATCAGTGATATTATGCTGGCGCATATTTCTGGAGCAATCAGTGCCGTCAGATTATTTAATGCAAGGTCTATTATTCAAAAACAAAGCCTCGATACATTTCAGTGGCTGCGTTCTAGACGCCGCACCGTTCGCGTTTAAGGAAATCGTGTGGCCACTTTCCGAAGTAGTGCCAGCATTTCTCTTTCGCAGTGTGCTCTATTTTAACCGTTCCGCGTGCCGCAAAAACCAGGGCCGTGATGGATAGGCATTATCAAGCAATTTCATTTTTTTTCAGCACGTGAACAGGCAAACAAATAATTTTTTTTCAGAGCTGTAACATCGTTAGTGCATCAAAGCTAGGAATTTATACATCATATAGGTGGACTGAAGTAGAAATTGGTAGACTTAGACGGGCTGGATCCCGTTCATATCTGAAGAATAATGCTGAAATGCGTGGAAACATTAGTGTAGAATAGGTTGAGTATACGTCCCTTAGGAGACGAAGAGAATCACCGTTCCCTATTGGTTACTGGTTCACTACGGCTAATTCAGTGTTTAAGGTACTGCAGAACGTGGTGCAAGGATCGGCCACTAAATCCCTGAATACTTTGCAGCCTATTTCAAATGAATATAAAATAGGAGAGCAGTTCTACTCTATTGAAAATCCGTCTATGCGGCCCACCGGAATGTTTTTAAATGCTTTGACGTACCCTTGAAATGTAACTGCAAAGAAAAAAAAGTGTTGCTTTAAACAGCCTAATTGGGACCAAGCATATGTCACAAAACAAATCTTTCGCGAAAACAAATATCATTTTTGCAATATTTACGACACGGGACGGTAATTTAGTCGGAGTCAGAACCTCTCCACATCTGAATCTCGCGCTCTTTCGACCCCCGCGAAGGACCAATACGTCCCACCACTCACTTTTGATTTTGCTCTTGGAGTGACTTGGCAGCGGAGTTGAACGACGTACGCAGCGCCTCTACTTCCGGCGCGTCTTGTCAAAGATACGCCGCGGATCGGGGGGCGGGGGGGGAGGGGGGGGGGGGGGCGGGGCGTAGGTGCCGTTGATCTCCGGTGGAAGCTAGAGCCGGTTTGCTTTCGTTGTTTTTGCTTGGTCGGAAAAGGTCTGGCAACAAACCGCGTTAAACATGAAGCCGGTATTCTTTTCGTTTGACGGGACGCGAGAAGCTCCGCGTTTTGCGAGCGCATGTAGCCAAGTCGTGACCGGAGAAGTGCCCCTGGGTGATTTCAGATAAGATCGACCAAAGGGTGGCTGGTCGACATTTTTAAATCAACTGATGTTTTTATATGACATTGTCTAGTGTCAGAAAACCTTTGTCTAGTGTCAGACCAGAAAAAAAATTTGGAGACAAGAAAAATCGTAAGGCAGGGAGAGGTGGACAGTTGCAATAACGCGCACTGATGGAGGGGGCAAGTTTGAAAGTGAATAATTAAAACAATAAAATTAGGAGAATTTTAACACTTTTTACAAACAAACTATGGGTACAACTTGCTTGTAATATAAAGTAATAATATTTATTAAAAATTTATTTATTTTCTAAAAATTGCAAAACATGCCTGCTCGAACGACAAATGGCAAACTTTGGAAATCTGTATCTCATGAAATAATTTAATCATTATTACATAACTTGCAGACATTATTTTACTAATATATGGCTATCATTGAAAAAATAAATAAGGTATCTGAGTGACACAATAGTTACAATATATTCAGGCAAACATGGGAAAAAAATCAAACAAAGAAAAATTCCAATGCAAATAAAAAAAAACGCCCCCTTCGATTTTTTTTTTAAATTTGGGTACCCTGTTATACTCTATTCCGGCATTCATTTCTAGTGAAAACATGTTGCATCATTGCACTGTGAAAGAAGAAACAACTCCCCAAAGTAGGGTCCTTTTTCAAAGCCTACACTTAGCAGTGTCCTATACAAGAAGTGACTCTGAGTTCCAGTTTCATGAAACTTGCACAAATCTTTTATATACATTTATTCAGATGAGGTCATTGATAAAAAAGAGCGATCGGTCCCACAGTAAAAGGGAGGAGAAACTATATACAGCATTTTACATAAGCGTACAAAGTGGTATCATATTAGAGACTAATGATTTGAGAAAAGATGATGCAGTGTGAAGTTGTACCTTCCGGTATATTTTACATCTAGAGTAAAATAAATAACTTTACTTCCACACACAAAAACAAAGATATAATAGTAAGATATTTAGGTTGGCTGTGTATTTACGATTACAAACAATTTCAGGTGACGGATGCCATAGTGCCTAACTGGAGCAGCTTCGATGCTCTCGGTGTATGAATGAATCGTGGCAAGGCGATATATTTTATCCTGCTCGAGGATAACATTTTGGGATTTTTTTATAGTGATCAGATAAAAATTATTAGTAACCACCAACAAAAACAGTAGGGTAAATACCCCGTGAAGAAAATTGTGATAAATAAGATGTCCCTGCATTCAAAATGAGCAGTCCTTGGGAAATCAAATTCCGCACTTTACGCTAAGGTTTTCCTCGCTGTACCCATTTAATAAAGTTGCTTCCAAGCAGATCCTACTGTCCGTGCTACATATACGTCACAGGTCCCTTCTGTTGATGACTTGCTGAGCCGCCACGCGTGCCAAGGCTGAATGCCAGGGAAGGCGCGCACCGTCAGCCACTCTTCTTTTTTTTTGTTCACGATACCGAACAACCTCATTTTCGTCCAGATATACAAGATGCACGCCTTTCAGTTTCTTTGATAGAACGCTCACCATTGTCCTGGCCGTCTGAATTGCGCTTACTGAACGTTCTCTCAGGTTGTTCAGCGTGGCCTGGTGCTTCACGAGTCCGCCAACTCCGTCACATGCATTTTTCCCATGTCCAGATGCAGAAAATAACCACTGGGCTTGTGGGCAATCGTCCTTTGCAAATTAGTGAAGCTGGTAGCGATTCTTGGAATGACTGGCGGCGCCGTCACTTACGTACGTCACGTACGAGTATACCGCAACGTTGTCTTCAACCCACTCCTTCACTTTTTCTAGAGCCAAGCAAGCGTGAGCGGCGTCGTGACACAGGTCCTCACTGATGATGGCAAAGCTGTTTGTAGATTTTCTTGTCGTCACTACACATGTAAATATCGAAACTTGTTTTTTTTTTCCAGTGATATGCTTGCACTTCGTCAGGAAGCACGATGGTCCAGTTTTCAGCAAAGTCAAAATGAAAGACAATGCTCCCGCGTTGTATGCACTGTTTTTCATCGTAGATCGCTTTACCTTGCGTTTGCCGGATATGGTTGTGAAGTAACCAAATTCCAACCGTCACTTGGATGACTTTTAGAAAAGTCTCAGGTTCCAAAGTTTTTTTCAGAAGGTCGCCGGACTCCCATGTTGCAAGCACAATCTCTTCATCCTCCGGGATATCAAGTCCCTGGAGTGTAAGAAACTGGCCTTTTGGGCAGTATTGTGAAAGGCTACGACACACCCGTAGCACGTTTACGAGAGCGGCGCGTGCCCCTAGCTCACGTGGTGCAAAGCACGCTCTTGCACCGACCGGCGGCTCGTGCGGGAGCTTTGGAGAACTCGGCTCTCGAGGCAACCTTTGTACAAGCTGGGTGTCCGTGTCTGTGTGTGCGCGTGGATGACTCTTCAGCGAGCGAGCCACCACGCCGAGAGACCCGCCACGAACTTCTTCGGCATTGGCTGGCCGTTGGCACACGAACTTCTTCCACATTGGCTGCCGAGGACCACGTAGGCCCCTGCGATTGGACAAGCCAGTGAACGGCGAGATGGGAGGCGGATATATAAAGAAAGGACACCCGTGAAGTTGTTGCGGTACGAACACTGAAATGATGTTGTAATTAATGTAA